TCTAACCCCCCTCTTCGTCGTCTGTGTATGGTTGGGGACTGGTGCATTCTTCCTGTGTGAGCGCCAGGCCCCTTCACACCATGGAATGATGATGATGTATGTTTGGGGCTGCATTGCAACATTGATTGTTCGGATCATTGGTATCTAAGTCTTCCGCTACGCTATCTTGTACTTTGTGAGCGAGGTCGGTTCTTGTTCTGGTCTGCACCTTCACGGTATGCGACACACTGCTGACGTGGCACTGCTGATGTGGTGCTGCTACTGACGTGGCAATTACCAAACTGGGAACGCAGGCAAAGGGCTGGGTGGGAGGGAAACGCACAAAGATCACCAAACTGCACTTTCCATTCCCGGTCCTAATCAACAGAACAAAATACAAAAAAAATAAAAGAACAGGATCCCCCCCCCTTTTTTTTTTTTTTTTTTTTAATATCTGTCGATCGGCTATGAGTGAGGCATTACGGAGGAGTGTTTGTGAGGAACAAGCCCTCAAGTGGCCCTATCAGACATCACATTGTTCTGGGCTAAGGCCCCAGCAAGCCAAGTGTCCGCCCTAAGTGAAGGCGGGCCTGAATATTCGTCAAAGGCAAATTTCCACATTTCCATATGGGGTATTCAGGCTCTCGCAGCACGCCAGTTGGTTGGGAAGACTCGTGAGCCTCACATTGCTGCGGCATACAGTTGGCCCAGGCCTTGACAGTTACGCCTGGGCACACTTACACAAAGCAGGGCCGATACATTGGGAAGGAGGCCTTTGGCCTTTGCAAAAGGAGTTGTGCCAATGCACCTGCCCGGGAGCCATGCACAGATGTCGCAAACAGCCCAAGTCCAGAAGACTCAGGCCGTGCCCAACTGAAAAGCCCTCAACTGTAAGTCTCGGGCCTGGGCACAGGGTCTGAGGCCCAACCGGAAGCTACTGAAAGCTTCCAGCCAGGCCACACGCAGCATCCAGCAGGCTGACACTTCCATAAAGGAAGTGAGGCAGCCGAGGCCAGGCATTCTGGCCAGCGTTAGCTATGCGGAAGTGCTGCTGCGCTCTCGCTTGATGCTGCGCTGCTGCCAAGGGCGCTGACGGGGCGCGAGAGGTGAGGTGGGGCGCTGCAGGGCAGCGGGGCGCAGGCGGCCATAGCCGGGCTGCTAGGCGCCAGGGGGTACAGCGGATGATCGGGTGGTCTTCAGGGAGTGAGGCGCTGTGTGGGGTAATCAAGGTCTGACTGAGGGTGATGAGATACGTACCTGGTACATGAAGAGAGGCTGGCGATGGTGTTGGCAGTCATGTACATTAGGCTTCGAGAGTCGAAGTGATCCTGTTGCGTGAACCAGCTATAGAGTAGGCTAGTGTGGTAGAGTAGGCTGGGTGCTCGGCGCCAGACAGAGAGAGCAACTCTGGATACTGTGTTGGTGTGGCCTACGGGCTTGGACATTGACTCATTTCTTCATTGTATTGCTCTTTATGGATGGTTTTCTCGGTGCATTTGTACTCTCTGCTTGGGACACGACTACTGGTTCAGCTGTGTGATTTCGCAACTTGGTTTTATGTATATCGCTCACACTCATATTCCTTGCAATTTGGTATCGGAGCTGGTTGTGATCGCCGCTTACCTGGCACCGGCGACATTGTGACTTGGTGCGCTGACGATGCTTCATGTGTAGTGAGGATACTTTGCGCTGGTTGATTCACGGGGCCTAGGTAGAGAGGGCAGCCGCTGGAAGGCTGTGGCGACAGCGTGGGAGCTGTGGCGACAGCGGGTGTATGCATGATGATGAGAGTATGCTGATGTGGCATTTTGGCTGAGGTGGCACTGCATTGCGTTGTGGGTGGTACCAAGGCTATTGACCAGTCATTGAAATGCACGTCGGCCCAATTGGTGAGAAATCTGTGGTTGGGGGCAGCTATCTCCAGGTACGTTGTTCCCATTCCTTATGTACCCTCTCAATCTGTACCCTCTCAATCTCTTCTTACCGTGAGGAAGTGAGTCCAACTTGAGTGTCCTCTCTTTGGTGAGGAGTCGTGTGCGCTCTATCTTGAGAGACGACATTCTTCCCGGTGGCGCATCTCGCAGGAGAGGGCGGTGCCTCTGAAGGGCCCTGGTCGAAGCACGGGTCACGGTTACCATGCCAACCCATGGGTATTAGTACACGCAGGCCATGCTGCTTTGTCCATTGAGGCTCTTTGTTGCGCTGATAGAAGGGGTATGCGGACTGACCAGTCCTATTGAGACGCTCCCAGACCGTCTATAAACATTTCTGGTTGGGGTCTGAACTGTCCACTAGCTGTGATCGTCGTCCTGATTGCGACGTTAAAGAATTCCTGAGGACTCCAGGGGTTGTCCTGAAATTGCCTCTTGATCAGCCAGATCAGTCAGACGTAAGGCTCGTTGCACGCGAGGGTAAACAAAGGGGCAGGCTGGTCATAAGCATACTTCTTGGGCACAAGGGTGGGCCGTGGTTGCACACCTTAGACACCGCAGCTTGATGATGCTCACAGGTACGTTGGATACAGGGGAAGGGGATTCCAATTGTGAACTCAACTGTACATCACTGACATATCCATTGTGCATACATCTGCTCACATTAGTCTAAGTTTTATTTTGATAGGTTGGTTGACCGACTGCTGACACCTAACATATAGACTAGAGTAGGAATGTAATCTACCATAGTCAGTTCTTCTCGAATCTTCTGTGCAGACTAATCAGAATAGAATTAGACAATGTGTACAGTTTTGTGTAGATGCTGTTGATAACCACTTGACTAATAGACTAGGTAACCCGCCGGACATTTATTTAATTATTTATTTTTAGATCCGGTCAGACGCATGCTACGGTAGGTTCCAGCGAGGACATTAGTGCAGACAGCGTCTGCCTAACCTATGAGTGGATCAGAGGGTGGTGAAGGCGCAGATGACGATAGGAGGTCAACAAGACTATCATCCCTTAGAATTCCTAGAGTGTTTCAGGCCCTACAACCGGGAGAAGAGAGAAGGTTAAGGGCTGAAGCTAGGGCCCGTAATCTTGAGGCTGCAAGAGAAGCAGCAACAGCTAGAGTTGTAGCAATGGCTACTTCCGCAGCAACTGCTGCGAACTCAACTGGTCAAGGGCTAGGCATGCCGACCAGTTCACAATCAATCTCGAGTACGTCAGGGGTTGGCACTAGTCAAATGGCAAGCTCGCAGTTCAGCTCGCCGCCTCCATGCACTCAGGAGCAGATGGAGCTCCAACAAGTAGAGAGGATCCGCTTAAGGCTAGAGGAGGAACTTAGACAAGCTACCAAGAGAGAGAAAGAAATAAAAGAAAGAAGTGTCAGATTAAAGGGCAGGGAGGCAGACATGGCTGCGCTAGAGGCATTAGAGGACTCTGCACTTAACACTACAGGAAAGATCCTGAAGGCAAGTGTCCTATCCATGCATGCGTACATAGACAGAAAATGGACGCAATGCAGGATACTCTAGACCAGATTCTGCAAGCGCTGCATAAGCCAGGGATTCGCCCAGCAGCTTTACCATCGCTGCCACTCTCAGCAATGACAGGCCTCTATGCCGCTCAGTTAGGACCACCACCAAGTGTTTCATCAACAGTAGCTCTATCTCAGACTGTTGCTTCTTCATCTTCTGGTCCAGCGACTGTTGCTACACCACAGTCGCCACCTGTCTCGCAAGTGGGACAACAATATCCTTGGTATCCCAAGACCCCACTGAATCTACCTGCAACCTTCTCAGGAGATAAGAAGGATGAGGCTCTCGACACATGGTTGAGAACGGTGCCAGTATGGGTGAGGGCAAAAAGGACATTGGTAGAAGAGGAGGTGATTACTGTTGCTTCCTACTTAGAGGGTTCAGCAGCCCGTTGGCTAAACGGACTGGTAGCTTCAAAGGGCTTCGGCAGGAACATGCATGATTGGGCGCAGACCCACACATTGGAAAGCTTTATGGACTTAGTGGAGGCGCGTTGGCACAACCCTCAACAGGCACATATTGCCACTGATGGGCTCTTAAAACTTGATACTAGAAAGTACAAGTCTGTGCGGGAACTTACCACAGTCGTAGAGCGCCTGATCGTCGTCCCGGGAGTGGAGTACAATCCACATGTCTTGCTGACAATGTTCCTGAGATGTCTTCCCACAGACATTAGGAATTTATTAGTCAGCGAGGCTTTTGAGTCATTCAGCAAGAAGGCCCTAGACTTAGAGGCTACGCTGGGTGGAGCTCAAACCCCTTCTACGGATGGGAGAAAGAAGAAGACTCCACAAGGGTGGAAGAAGAAGGGTAGTCGGTTGATGATGGTTGATTCCGACGGAAATCAAACCGAGATCGATGATGTTTCCGAACTTGTGGAGGGTTCAGAGTTTGACGGCGAGGAGAGTGTTGAGGGTAGCAACCTCGCCGCCGTAGTTAAGACTAAGGCAGCTGGCCGCCGCAAGGGAGGTCAACAAAGGAGTCAGGGGAAGGCCGCTAACCCAAACAAAATAGTTGCTTGGGTTAGAGCAGGTCTGGATCAAGAAGTGTGGCGGGACCGTTGGTCTCGTGGTGCTTGCATTAACTGCGGTGAGTACGGTCACACACAATTCAAATGCAAGAACCCGAAGGTCTCGCAGAAGATCCCTCCTAAGTGTGGGTTCTCTTCTTCTCAATCTGGGGCCTCTACGAGCTCCAGCTCTGGAAACACTTAGGGCCAGTAGAAGTTATAGCTGCTTCTACTCTCGTTGAAGCGGGTGATGTACCCTCCCCGTTTCTAGAGATGGCCAAAACTATTGACTCCTTAGTCACCCCGCAAACACATCCGGACCCAACTATACTCTGTACGTTGGATGTGTCTGAGGACCCTTCAAGGTGAGTGGTCGGCAAAGGACCCTCGTGAGTCCTGGGTGGCACCGAGTAGAGGTCCTAGAGGGGAGCACTTCGTTGTGGAAGTTGATGTGGGTGGTCTCAAGTGCGGCGCCTTCGTAGACATTGGCTCCACGCGAAACTTCATAAGTCGCGACTGCGTTGACAGACTGTGCCTAAAGGACCGGGTGCAGCGCCTTAGTAGACCGGTAGCATCTACTTTGGCCAACAAAGAGCGCATGATGGTGGAGGACTACGTTARTCTGCACCTTCTCCTACCCAGGAGGAGAGATAAACCATAAGATATCATTCCTGGTGAGCGACGAGTTGCCCTTTGACATGTTATTGGGCATGTACTACCTCGAGGTTGCCAAGCCCCAGTTTGACTGGGAYAAGAAGGTGTTGAAGCACGAGTTGCCTAGTGGGAGAACCGTGAGACTGGCCAAGTACAAAGCCAGTAGGTTAGTAGACTCCTATGGGTGCTTATGCGCATCTGCCTTTTATAATTATTATAAACAGAACCAAGAGGAAGGAATGTACTTAGTCTATGTCTCTGCAAAAGGGGAGGCCGTTAAAACACCCCCAGAGATAGAGACCATCGTCGCCAAGTACCCTAATCTGTTTGAGGAGCCTACAGGAGTCGTAGACAGGGAGATTGTCCATGCCATAGAGATCAACCCAGGTAGTAAGACACCTACGGGAAAAATCTATAGGATGGTTCCAACCGAGTTGGACGAACTTCGGCGGCAACTTAAAGAGCTCACAGAGAAGGGTTGGATTCGGCCTAGCACTTCCCCCTTTGGCTCACCAGTATTGTTTGTTCCAAAGAAAGGGGGAACACTAAGGATGTGCATTGACTATAGAAGCCTCAATGCCATCACCGTTAAGAACGCAGAGCCTCTACCATGCATCGACGACCTATTGAATAGGGTGCAGGGGTGTAAGTACTACACAAAGATAGACTTAAAATCCGGCTACCATCAGATTGCCATTAGACCAGAGGACCAGCACAAAACCGCATTTCAGACCAGGTACGGTCTGTACGAGTTTGTGGTGATGCCCTTTGGCCTTTGCAATGCGTCGGGTACATTGCAGCACGCCATGAATAGGATCTTCCATGACTACTTGGATAAGTTTGTTGTCGTGTACCTTGATGACATACTTATCTTCAGTAGATCTGTCGAGGAGCATGCTCAGCATGTAGACACAGTACTTTCACTCCTTCGACAACACAAGTATAAGATAAACGTAGAGAAATGAGAGTTCGGTCGCACTCGAATCTTGTACTTGGGTCATGACGTATCCGCGGATGGGATTAGGCCTGAAGATGCAAAGGTGGCCAGCATACGTGACTGGCCACGACCCCAGTCTGTGACTGAGGTCAGATCATTCTTGGGAATGTGTGGTTATTACCGCAATTTCGTAAAGAATTATAGCACGATCACATCTCCCTTGACTGATCTAACTCGACTTGACACACCATGGGACAGGACCGACGAGTGTGAGGCAGCTTTCAAGCATTTGAAGCATGCTCTCACGCATGGTACCCGACCCGAAAAGGCCATTCGTTGTGACCACTGATGCAAGCCAATATGGGATTGGCGCAGTGATGGCTCAGCAGGAGGGGAAGAAGTTGAGACCGATCGAGTACATGAGCAAAAAGATGCCTTCAAAGAAGTTGGCAAAGTCCACCTACGAGAGGGAACTCTACGCTCTTTACAAGGCACTTGTCCACTGGAGGCACTATCTGTTAGGAAGGTTCTTCTACTTGAGAACTGACCATCAGACGCTCAAGTGGATCAAGACTCAACCAGTTCTCTCCGATGCACTCAAACGCTGGATTGAAGTCATAGATCAATATGATTTCATACTATTTGAAGGGAGAGTACAACAAGGTTGCAGAGGGCAGATTACCTAGGTGCACTGATGTATGAGTTTGGTCTATCTGAAGATGTAACTCGATCTTTGGAGGAAGCCTACAAGGAAGACCCCATCACGATGGGCATCATCAACAAACTACAGGCTAAAGATAAGGCCACCACTGATGAGTTTGTGACGGTGGATGGGTTGCTCTTTCTTGAGAAGGCAGGGTTCAAGAGGTTAGTTGTTCCATCTAGGGAAACTTTGCGTAGTTTGTTTTTAGGTGAGTGCCATGACGCAACAGGACATTTCGGTTATAAGAAGACTAGTGCTAATCTAGTACAGCGATTCTGGTGGCCTAACATGCTTGACGACGTGAAGAAGTACGTGGAAACCTGCCAGGTCTGTTTGCGGTACAAGCTGCGGACTCAAGCTCCGCTTGGGTTACTCAAGCCTTTACCCATTCCTGCTGGCCCAGGGCAGAGTATCTCCATGGACTTCATGGATACTCTTGTGACAGCAAGAATGGCAAGAGGCACATTTTTGTCATAGTAGATAGGTTCACTAAGTACGCTAAACTAATTGCCATGCCACAGACTGCTAGGACTGAGCACGTCATCAAGTTGTTCATGAACAACTGGGTACGTGACTTTGGACTTCCAAAGACTATGATTAGTGACAGAGATGTGAGATTCACAAGCGAGATGTGGAAGAAGGCCGCTGAACAGATGGGCAGCCAGCTTCAGATGACTCCTGGCAATCATCCCGAAGCAAATGGGCAGGCTGAACAGATGAACCGAGTGGTGCAGCATCTGCTGAGGCATTACATCAAGCCCAACCAGGATGACTGGGATGAAAAATTACCTCTCATCGCCAGCCTGTACAACAACGCTGAACACAGCACCACCGGCGTCAGTCCTAATCAACTGTATCTGGGGTGGAAGCCTAAATCTGCTCTAGACTCCTGCCTGAAAACCGAACTGCTGCAACTCCTGGAACCATTGAATTTGGTGTCCAGTATGAGAAACTGTTGCAGGAGACTGTCGAACACATCAGGAAATCTCAAGAAGACATGATTGCTTCTGAGAACAAGCATCGCCGACAGTCCACATTTCAGGCAGGGGAACGTGTCTGGGTCAAGGCTAGTGAATTGGGACAGGAGTTTGGCATCTCTAGGAAACTAATGCCTCAGTATTTTGGTCCCTGGGAAGTCCTAGACATTGTGGGGAATGATTTGGATGGTCCCTCGTATGTTATCCGTATCCCTGGTCACTTACGCACTTACCCTGTTTTTCATGCCTCCAAGCTTGCACTTTTCGTTGAGACATCACAGTTCCCATCACGGAGATCTATGCTGCCCCCAACCATGGATGGCCACGTGGACGTCGACGATATCCTGGATCACTGAGACACGCCTGTTCCCAAGCCACCTGGCAGGGGAAGACCTCCCAAACCTGCGAGGGAATACAGAGCAGGGCTAAGCCGGCAACTGGTCGGTCGGACCGGCCCGGTCCCAACCGGGCCGGTTGGACCCCAGGTGGTCCAACCGGAATTCCGGTTGGGCCCAAAAATGGGTCAATTTTTTTTTATTTTTTTTTTT